AACTAGATGCCATTAGAGGGAGAAATTTGTTGTTTATAGGAAAGATAAATTGGTCCCAAGATAACCTGTATTCAGGAGAAAAGCCAGACTTACGGATAGAAGTCAACTCAGAACAGGGGAGCTTCATCACTTCTGAGGTGGGAAACCAGGGCTTTATCCTGTAGCCAGACCTAGGATGGAAGCTCACTGGGGAGTGTTTGTTGGGTGGGCCTGAATCTGGCTCAGCAGGACAGAGGTCAAAAAATGACCATCACCTACAAGGGACAGACACTCAATACTATGAAGACAGAACACCAGGCAAAGACAGAAGCCTGGACATCTTCACCTGAACATCTTAGACCCGTGATGCCTCATATAATTGTACGACTGTGAACAGGGTTTTCTTCTTCTTCTGAAAAATTTGCTAATACAGTACTACTTGCATTTTAATGTGTTAGTTTGTAATAAAAACAACTTGAAAAAAGTTCAGAATTTTTTAGTTTTAAAGACATATTTTAAAATAAAATTGTTTTGAACATGGATTAATCACAACTGCTAGAGGAGACTAAATAATAAAACAGGTCATGATAACCTCCTGCCTAAAAACTCTTTCGGTCTCATACTTGGGACTTTACAGACCAACAAAACATCCTGAGAAGTCCCAGAAAGTTTCAAAATCACATCTTTCAAGATGTGCCATATTTTAAATATCCTAAATATCTCTAAAATAATAAATAAAAAATAAGCCCTTGAAACCAAATTCAAGTTCTCTAAATTTCCTCAGTGATTTCATGAAAATCTTTATACAGTGAAGATATAATTATTTCCCCAGCTGAATTTGTACATTTGCTCACTTATAAAGATATTAACTTTTTCTCATTTTTATGATAGTTTCATTTTAATAGAGAGACACAAATATCAACCAAAACTCAATCAGACAAAATGCATTTCATTAAATTATGGCTTGATTTGCATGTCATTGAGTAAAATATGTATCCCCAAGCAAAACATGACTTAGTACTTGGTGCGGAAAACCTTGTTGGCAAGAACAGTGGGAAGTCATTTCTCATAGTTGGTCAGCCGGTTTTGTCACAGCTCAGGAAGGAATTTGGCCCACTCCACTTTACAGAAACTTGATAAATCCTTTAAGTTCATCAGCTGCTGCTTGATAGTTTAAAGCGTCAGCTTCCTCCACAAACTTTTTACAGGACTGAGATCAGGAGACTAGCTAGACCACTCAATGACCTTAATGTACTTTTTTCTTTAGCCACTCCTCTGTTCTCATGGTGGTATGTTTTGGGTCATTGTCATGCTAGCAGACCCATCCACAAATCTTCACTGTTCTGGGAAGGAAAGGAGGAGGTTCCTGTCCAAATTTTTATGGTACATGTTCCGACCCATTGGCCTCTCAATGTGATGAAGTTGTTCTGTACCCTGAAGCAGCGGTCCCCAACCTTTTTTGCGCCACGGACCGGTTTATGTCTGACAATATTTTCACGGACCACCCTTTAAGGTGTCGCGGATAAATACAACAAAATAAAACCAGTACGGGTACCCAAAAAAAAAGAAGATTTATTCATAACACATGGGAAAAGACCCAGGGAAACTGAGTTAACAATAGAAAAGATAAAAAATAACGATAAAAAACAATAAAAACCCTGAAAACCATAAATTTCACACCCGAGCCTCAACTCTTGTGGCCCGGTACCAAAGACTCATGGACCAGTACCGGTCCATGGCCGGGGGGTTGGGGACCGCTGTCCTAAAGCACAATGCACCACCCTGTGAGGATGGTGTTCTTTGGGTCATACTGAAAACTGTGGGTGCCAGAGAGCTTGATTTTAGTTTAACTAAACCACAGAACTTTCTCCCAAACCATCAATGACTAATTCAGATGTTCAGTGTCAAACTTAAGATGGGCCGGTACATGTGCCTTTTGACCAGGGGAAAATGTAAAGTGACATATGCGCATTACACTCGACAAGTTTTACCAATGTTTTTCTTGTGACTGTAGTCCCACCTGCTTTACATCATTGACAAGATCCTCTCATATAGTCTTGGGCTGATCCACCATGATTAACCCCTGTAAGGCAAGATCTTTCATGAAGCTCCAGACCAGATTGATGGTGACTTCTATTTGAGACTAATTGCACCAACAGTTGTTGACTTTTCACCAAACATCTTGTTGATGGTTTTGTAGACCATTCCAGCTTTGTGCAGGTCTAAAGTCTTGTTCCTGATGTCATTTGATTGCTCTTTGGTCTTGCCAATGTTAGTGGAGAGGTTGGAATAGAAGAAACTGAATATGTGGACAGGTGGTCTTCATACACACAACATGTTAAGATTAAGAGTATCTGTAAGTGATTGGTTGATTGATTGTAATCTGTGTTCCATGCGTGCACACAACTAATCAGTGACTGACTGCACTCAATAACATCCAAATCAATTTTGAACTTTTATGTCATGTGAGTTTTCTTGTGTTAAAAAAAAAAAAGAAAATACTTGCAAATGCTTCAAGACCTCTGTTAGTGTTCCCAGTCTCCACAGACGACATGTTGTTGGCCTATTTATGTGCGGTTTGATATTTAAAAGGTTTGATATTCCAACAACACCTCCTTACAAATGTTTTTTGCATTGGTGCTGGCATAGTCTGAGGTGAAAAACGGACAGTGTCACAGTCTGTGTTGGCAGACCGTGGGGATGTGGGGAAAGGAGGACCCAGTCACGGTACTCTGTGATGCAAACAGTGCTCTTTATTTGCTTCTTACAGCCCCTTGTTAGATAAAATGTCAAGTGCCCACTAGCAATCAAAGAACTTATGAGTGGTGCAAAAGGGGGTCTGGTGATGTTGCTTTACAGCTTTAAACTCATCACAGAGAGGAGGCCAGGGTGAATGGATGGGTCAAGACAACACATGACTTTAACATGGGAAACTGCTTTTTATGCCTAACTCTAACAAATGTTTTACCCAAGCATTGTCAAGTCATAATTCAGAAGTGGAAGTAGAAGCCATAAAAACACAGTTTTTACCATGTGAACATGTTTGTCAGCAGTTTTGAGTACTTGATGTGATGTCTGTCTGGATATCTGCAGGCAGATTTCTTCAACACATTGGCATTGCAACAGTGCAAGACACAGTTACGCAATATATTAACGGTATGCAGCCAAGATCAAAATGAAGGTAAAGCTCAAAGACGGGTGTGGTCAGAAAACTTGCTGGTATAGCGGCTGGTGTGATCCCCTGACAAGATGGTCTCTGGTTTCAATCTGTTTTGAACCTCATATGTCCTCTAAACTTTTTTTTCCCTATCAACATGCTGATATTTCAACCCATCAGTTCCACCTCACATCAAACCCGGCCTTCATTTTGATCTCAAATACACACCTTTAAAATTCTGTGACTGTATCTTGCACAGACGTAATTCTATAATGCTGAAAACCAACTGACAGAGAGACATATAAACACCTGCCACAGTACTCGCAACTGCCTCAAGGCTCCGCCGGACCACATTTTGCCATGATGACAGACCGATTCACACACAGTGTGAAAACACAAGCTATAAAAATATTTCAAGAACAATCTTCCAGATACCAGACCTATGGTATCATACAAAAGAGTACTTCAAAGAAAGGGTAAGCCACAATGTCTAGTCACAATTTGTTTGTTTTACAGAATTTAAAAAAAAAAAAAGCCTCAGTAACATTTGAAACATTTGAAATATTGTCTGTTTTTGTGGGCTTAGCATGAATGATACTGGCAATTTGGGTGATGTCACCAATCCATTAGCATGTATCCTGTGACCTTTGCTTTATTGGAGACTTTCACACAGTCTGAGAAATGATCTCACCCTCCGATTCAGATCCACAGCTGTTAAAATAACAGTTGTTCAAAATGTTGAATTATTAAGTTTAAAATTTGAGATACTTATGAATGTCAAAAAGAAAAAAAAAAGAGTAGCAAAAAACTGAATGAAATGTACTTTGAATTAAAATTTAAACTAGCAAAATGCTGACTATGGAATATAAAAATATATGTTTGCTTTTCTAAAAAAAAAAAAAAAACTTGCTGCAGGTCAAGATTTTAAAGTGACTTAAACCCTAACCCTGGGATATTTTCTCTTCTGCTTATTTTGGAGGTGGGTCTGCTCTGGTGGTTAAATAGCTGTAGTTAGCTGTAGTTCTGGTTCACTCGGTCACTTGAAACCAGGATCGCTTATATTTTCCTCATTGAAAACCATTTGTATAACACAAATGAACACACAGTACCACTGTAACAGTTCGTCAAAACAGCAAACGTGGAAGCCCAGAAACTGATCAACTCAGGAGAGGAGGTGAGGAGGAGACGCACAAAGCATTTTTCTTTCCATCCACTGAGAGGGAGTGGTGCACCGCTGATGTCTGCAGGCAGAAACTCATCTGTCATCTTCTGACTGTGCGCGGGTGTATGTGTGTGCGCATGCTAGCTGCCAAACGCACGCACCTCCCTCCTCCTGCCGTATTTCCGTAATCTGTCGGAGTTGCGCGTGTGGGGAGTAGAAGACACGGTGGATTATTTCCACAGAGGAAAGAGCGCGTGGCACAGAGCCGATCCCACTGGTCGACAGAGGAGCGGAGGTCAGCAAGTGTCCCGGGCTGCAGGTGCTTCGTGCCAAACGCTTCCAGAGTCTGTCCGAGTCTCAAGAATTCTTCTCTTCGGTCCGCAAAGCAGAGGAATGACCCCGTCCAGCTGTCTGCCAGCTGCTGCTGCTGCGAACAGGACCAGATGAGGATGAGGAGGAAGGGGCTCCCTCAGCTCCACGCGCTCCTTCAAAGTTCAGCGCTTTTCTAAGATGCCACCGGCCTCTGGAGCTCGGCACGCGGTTCGGCTCGAAACTAACCCGGGATAATAAAACACGCACAAAGAGACAAGAAAACACACCAGAAAGCAGAAGTTTAGTAATTATCCGGCGGGAGGAGCCCGGGAGGGAGAGCCCGGGATCAGAGAGCGCTCCGAGAGCTGCGCAGGGAAGACAGGTGAGCTTAAGTGTGTGAGCTGAGGGAGCAGCCGAACGGTGAAGAAATTTGTTCGCAGACAGAAAACCTCTCCTAGGCGTAAAATGTGACATGTTAAACAGTTTTCTGTAATAACTGCAGGATGTGTGAGGGTGATGCTTCGTTTTAAAGTGCAGCGAGAGCATTAAACGTGTTTTTACTGGGACATATTTTGTTTGCGCGTTTAGGAGCGAAACTACTGCTGGAAACTCATTTTTACTTCAGAATCATTCAAAGAGTTTACCGCATTGAATGAATCAAAAGCAAACGTAAAACGAGTCTCTTTTAAAACTTGAATCTTTAACTAAACCCTGGAAAAACGTTATTACTTGGATTTTTTAAAAGCAGTAAACTCACGTTAGAATCACGCCGTATCTTTAAATAGACAGCAGTATTATTATTATTTTTAGATAAATTTGTTTTATTTCAGGTAAGTTTGGTTTTATTAAAATAGGTTTTGTTTCATTAGAAGTTCATTTTTGATCATATCACATGATCTTTATTTTTCATTACAAAAAAGTTTGACTCAAAGTCTCTCTTATGACCTAAAAACTGTTAAATTCACATTTGGGTCCACATGAGTCCTGATGAAGATCATGTGATTCTGTCAGAAGATCCAGCACGTGGGAGGAAACGGCTTTGGCTCCTTGGAGGAACATTATTACAAAACAATCTGAACTTTGCTCATCTGCACCTTCAGGTCCGTGGTGATGCTGCTCGCGCGGCTCACGCTCCTGTCCGCCCTCCTCCTCCTGCTGCTGCTCACCGAGGCGGCCCTTCGCCGAGGTTCCGGCACGCAGACGGACAGCCGCAGCATGGTGGAGCTGATCGGCCGGTACCCGAGGACGAGGACGGAGACGCCCGGGGGAGTACAGCATGGGTCGCAGCACGGACTGGGTCAGTACTGATGGCGGAAACAGTGAGATAACATCGTAATCACGCCGCGGTCTGCGGTTTCTCTTTGAACTTTATTCATCCATTCAGAGAGTCAAAAAATATGAATGAGTGCAGAAGCAAAAGGCTGCAGGGCGTCACGTCCTGTTGGGCCCCTCCTGCTGTAATTTCATTAAATCCTTTTTGATTTAGGAGGAGCGTGAACCTGTTGTGTCGCCCAAGATACACTCTCACGGTCTAGATGGGGCTGTTTTTAAGCACAAAAAAGCTGATTCCAAACTGCAAAATTAAACTCCTGAGGTGGTTTCATTCATACTCCAGTGAATTAAAATCTATGTCAAAGGACTGTTCTTTATCCATTTGTAAACCACAATGCTTATCGGGCACTCACATTTATCCCATGACCCTTTTTAGGGAGCTACCCCCTATACTTGACACTTAGTTTCACAGTTACACTCACCTCTATGTGAAGTGCTCTATAAGTACTCATAACTGTCAAAATTGCTCTTCTGCACATCCTGAGACTCAACATTTGTAGGAAACCGCACCCTGACGCCAGTCCAAATGTAGCAAATTGTAACTTCAAAGTTAATAACTGAACTCAAAGCTTTCAAGTTTAGCCTACGATAATCTGCTAGTACAGATATATCACTAAGATCCATCCATCAATTTTCTGCCAGTGATCGGGGTTCGGGTCACGGGGGTAGCAGTTTGACTAAAGTAGTATGTAGTATCTAGTATGACTAAATATTTAAATGGTGCTGTCCCTGCTAGTGAGTACCAGAAATGCAAGGAATAAAATAATTATGAATCTCCAACCTGCCATTCATCCATTCTCTTTGACCTGTCCTCATGAGGGTTGCGTGGAGGCTGAGACCGAGTCCGAACCAAAAAACCTGAGGGCACATGAGAAACAGAACAACGCCCCCCAAAAGGCGTGTGTATGTGTGTGCCTGAGCATCTGGCTCGGGCAGCAGATACCCACAGACAATGGGAACGGAGGCCAGGAGTCAAAGTGGAGAATTGTTAGTCCTGGCGGCTCTGGCTCCGGAGTTTCGGGCACTGGTGGTGTGGGCAGTGCTGACTCCAGCTCGGACAGAGCAGGATCAGATGGCATAGTGCAGACCTCTGATTTGGGTGGCACATGATCAGACGACACGGAGACCTCTGGCTCAGACTGCTGCCCCCAGGTCCAGGCTGGGGCTGCACAGGACACACAGCCTGTTTCTTTAACAACTGCCGCTATTGTTCAGGCTTGGCCACTCTCTACCCTGGGATAGAGGCAGGGAATTCTGAGCGTCGTTGAGGTGAAAAAGTTGGCATGAGGTGACAGGTTGAATCCATGCACTCTAATTGCTGGAGGACCAAGTAAAGGCAAGGCAGCAGATGGAAAAACATGGTGCCTACGGGGACCCCCTACAGCCAGTCGAGCTCCACAGAAAATGTGTTCATACTACCTGCTCCTTCCTCACAACCATGAGGAAGAACGCGTCAGAGAACAGAGGGCAATGCAGACAATACGTACACAAAGAGGATAACGAGGGAAACAGGCCACAGGTGGGAACATAGCTGACACTAATCTGACTGATAAGACAGGAGAAGCGAAACTGAACATAATACACGTGAAACAGGAGACTATCAAAATAAAACAGGAACTAACACACACAGTGACTCTGAGACATAGGATAAACAGAACAAATAACCAAAGCCAGAAAGTAGAAATAAACTCAGATGCACTAGAGGTCACTAAAGCAGTGACACTTAAGTCATCTCTTAAATGAACAGAAAGAATCGTGAGGCCACAACCAATTCAAAACGCTGGGTCAGACACCCAGGACCATGACAGGCGAGAGGCGGGGTGCACGCTGGACAGATTGCCAATCTGATGAGGGGCTAGGACATAGAGACTGACAACCATTCACACTCACATTCACACCTAAGGGCAACTTTAGAATTACCTAACTAACCCAACCCCAGTAGTTACAGATAATTGTTGATTCTTGAGTGTTAACGAGTTCCTCATTACAAAAAGGCAGCACCCTCTTCTCTGAAATGAAGGTGCAAACAAGCTAAGAGCTACTCAGAACTCTACAGACCATCATGGTGCAGCTGCGTAGTGTCACCAGTGGGCGGAGTCAACAGTACCAATAATGGGTCTGCATTTGTTTGTCGACAAGATTAAACAGGAAAGAGCCTAAAAATAATAAAATAGTCTATGACAACCACCGTCTTGAGGCTTCTCCAGCTGCATCAATAACTGAAGCAATTTACTTGTCACACATTGCTTTGAAGCTAACAAACAGTTGCTTGTAGAAGTTCCAGGTTTCTGTTGCCAAGGTGATCCTCTAATGTATTTGCTGCCCGGGAATATGTCAATCAACAGTGTTCTTCACTCTGATTGGTGGTTGCTACAGTTGTTCCCCTGGAAGTTGAGAAAAGTTTATCTCATCCCACCTACTTCCCATCGCCAGCAGTTATTTCACCCATGATTGCTTGAAGTCGTGGCGTGTCATTCACTTATCTGGTGATCACATTGCTCTGAATTTCTTCCAGTGCATATGCAGCTTCAGGCAGCTTTATTGATCTGTCATCACTGCAGTCTGGCTGCACACTGCTGGCTTTTTGGAGGACTGCACGTAAATATATCTGTGATATTTGTATGCTGATAATCCTCGGCTCTGCATAGTGGAAGCTTAGAATATTGGACCCCAACGCTGGACTATAAATCCAACATAGAAAGATGATAGTTCCAGAGACTAATGTGGTTCTGTAGCGCTTTGGTCCAGATGACAAATGGTTGTATGTAAACTGTGTCAGAGCAAAGTTTAAAATACTAATTAAAGAACACTGAAAAATATGATCGGTAGTTTAAAATGGATTTCAAATACAGTCTAAATATTTGTACACACATAGTTTATTAGGGCTTGGATTTTGTGACTTTACAACTGGTCAATTAGTTTGTTTTTTCCTCCCATTTACTCAACTCTTAAAATAGCTACAAGGAACATACCCAAATATAATGTATATTATCTTTTCAGATTATAAATTTCTTCTACAGGTTTGATTGCTGGGTTAGAGCCAGTCAAAAGCCAAACGTGAGGAGCATTATTGTTTTTCTGGATACAATTTGTATATGAAGTAAAGCAGGGAACCTTTTGTTAAACAAGAATTGGATTTTTGGGGGGTTCTTTTAAGTAGTCTAGTCATTATTTGAGAAAGAAATGTTGAGTTTGTTATTTGATTTAATTTCGATCTATTATTTATTAATTATTTATTTAGTTGGGGTTTTGAGTACCACCAGTGAATGCCATTTAATAACATTATTTTCAGGAAAAGACAAACATCTCAACAGTGGATATCACCAAAACTAAGCAACTGACACTAAAACAATCCTGATGGATAAATAGCAACAAGGGACTGAGAAACAAAATTGTACATTTGTCATGTTAACAATGTCTTTGCATGCAGGACTTCTTTTATTTTTAATGGAACACTTTGAGACTAGTCTGTTTTGTAAGAGTTCTCAAGCTAAACAGATTCAGTTTATGTGAAACAAATGAAAGAAAAAGTAAAACTAGACCGAAGCATTGTCTTGTGTGATGAACGACAGAAAATCCAAATATTTCTGTTTGTGTGAACAAACCAAAAGCAATGTCACAGAGAAATCTGAGTGAGGTCCATTCGTCTCCAGCTGGTGCCGAAAAGGCAGAAATGCCTCAAGAGTGACGGCGCAATCAGTCAGACTTGCAGCCGTTTGAGATCTTTTTGTTGTTTGGATCAGCAAGACAAATCCCTCTTAAATCATCAGAGCATTTACAGCTGGCTCCATTAGAGCTGCGAGCTGAGGCCAGACCCTTAAAGGAACTTTTGTGAGGATAATTTTAACAGAGCAGACTGCTGTCATCGTTTGGTCCTCTGCACATCTGAGGAACTATCAGCCAGGGCACCTCTTAAAGGATCATTTTATCTTTTACCATCATTTTAAACCAATATTTCTTCACTGCAAAGCCTTGTATTTAGTAGACTCAAACCACCCCTACAAAAATTTTGTAGAATAACTGTTACTGAGGGTCCACTCTCATCTTATGTGTGAAAAAAGTTCAGCAGAGAAAATGTGTCCAATTTTTAGAAAGGACTGCATTGTGTGAACAATACATTGGGATTTAAAACAGCAGAAAGTACTTTAACCTCACAACAGGAACAGTTTAAGGCTTTAATGATGGTTACAAACAGTGTCCACTTTTTACTTTCAGATGATGTCAGAGTCATAAATGTAAATTATTTTGGCTTAAAGTATCTATCTTACCCTGTCAGCAGACTTCCCAATATGCTTTGTTAGTGTTAAAAAAAACGTTAGAAAATCAACATGGTGAAACAACATTGCATGCATAGATCAAACACCACAAAAACTGCCTGGAAGCAACTCAAGAAACATGTCAACAAGCGTAAAAAACTTCCCAGATTCATTCAATCACCTGCGGGTTGCACTAAAACAAGCCTGACCCAACACTACCAGCGCCCCCATGCCAGACTGGCAGCTTAGGAGGGGGGTGACCATGTTGTAGCTGATCCATCCAATGACTGATCCTTTTCCACAGTTCCATTCAGCTTTTGAGAGTTTAATTTGAAAATGATTCATAATTCACAGCTGGAAAACAACATAAAATGTTATACTCTCTAAAAAGCAGGCAAAGGGGTCCAGGAGTAAAACAGTGCAGATTAATAAAAAGAACTTCTTGTTTGAATCAGCCTCAGAGCTGTGTTCACATTTAACTTTTAGCCTCTGGGATTTTATTCTCCAACAGACATTTGAACTATTGTTTACTCTATTTAATCCTTTTTCTCCCCATGTCGTCCAGGTACTGGAATGGGCCTTATGTTTTATTAGAATGTGACCCGCTGCCATTTATCTTGAAATTTGTCAAGCGTGACAACACAGGACTTTTACTTTTTTAGCCATTATGTTGTTACTTTTGCTTAAACTCTTAATCCTTTCCACCCTGTGAGACTGTGAACAAGCTGGATTAGATGTATGCACCGCTTGAGTTGCAGTGAGTTGAGTTCTTTTAATAAAGGCTCAGTGTCACTGATTTATTGTTATTACACTGTTATCCAGTCTGATCTTGTGATGGAAGCAAAAAGATTTGCTTGTACTAATAAATCTCATGAATGTTGAACAAGATTGTTCAACTTCTAGTTCCAGCTTGTGAATTTGGGATTTTTTTGCTAACAGAAATTCCTCAAGCTCACTTAAGGCTTTAAAGGTGTTATTAGCAGACCCATGAGATTTTAATAGCCATCTGTATAACAGTGAAACAGGTGCTGCTGCAAATGATTTCAGGACTCTATGCTATCTTATGGCTTTCTGTACAATGTTTTGGATAAAAGTGTTAGAAATAAGTCCTTTAATGTCAAAGATTGAGTCCTTCTATCTATCATAGAGATCCTAGACCTCCAACTGTTGTAGGAGACCAAATTTATGGGGGGTTATGTTCATCTAAATTCCTAATAACGATAAATATATTTGCTCCTATTTTTATTTCATTTAAATCCCAGAGCGTTTAACTTCATAAATTGCCAAAGAACAGAAATATGACAGAATAAATGACTTCAGGCCTGTCCGTGGGGTTTCCACATCAGTGTGACCTCCATTTATTCAGCAAAGAAAACTAGTGAGACACGTTTGACCTTTTCAGTGTCTGTTGAGAAAAGGGGGTAACTCTGCAGCTGAACTTGTAAGTTCCTTGTGTTTAAAACAACAGTCTTGCTGATGTATCAGCAAGGTCATGTCACAAGTTTGGCCTTCAGGAGTTTTTACATCTGTTTCATATTTCTGTGATTTTTTTATGGTTGAGTCAGATGAGAATGTGAAGCCTCCCAGTTTCTTCCACTGTGTTTTGAACAAAAATAATAAAGGCTCAGTGTCACTGATTTATTGTTATTACACTGTTATCCAGTCTGATCTTGTGATGGATTCTCTCCCTCTAACTCACTCAAAAGGTGGAAATCTTATTCGTGATGATCCATATGTTTAAGCTGGCAAAGACCTTTCCTGCATCTCTCCCCATTTATCGAGGCTTTGGTAGGAACCGTCTTGTGGCCCCCTGTAACTAGTTGCTGATCTATATTTCTTTAAACTCTGTTGTCTCACAGCAAGAAGTTCCTGAGTTTGACTCCACAGTGTGGTATCTTACCAGTATTATTTACACATTTCATATAATTATTTGCCATTTCACACTATCATAAAATTGAGTCTATATGCCGATGACATTTTGGTATATGAAACCAACCGTCCTTCCATCTCCATCCAGTCAGGTCACAGTCTGATTTGCAACTCTGGCAATGCTTCCGGATATTCCATTACCAAACTCTTTCTCTAAACTCTTTGGATTGGGATACTCAACCCATTAATACATCGGAATCCAGGCTTAAACAAAGTCCAATGAAACTGTATATTTAAACTCTGTTTGCATGACTCTTGTTAATCCATCATTAGGTTCCTTCTTCTCCCTTAGTTTAACACTCTCTATATATTTTACAATACAAAGTCAAAAGGCCCTCAGTTAAAATAACTATGGTCCAAAAGCCCAAACAAAGAATATCTAAAAATGTTCCTACTACTTTGGTGCCTGGGAGGCTCGGTATATTCAACAGATCATCTGTAAAGGTGTCAAGATAACTCTGTTCACACCCACAACTGCTTCAGATTTAACATCATGAATACCACTGTCACTGCCTGGTGGACTCTATCTCCTTCTACTTCCACTCCTCTCTGACATTAGTAATACATCAACCTTTCTGCATGGACACAGAGGAGTAAGCAGCCTAAGGCACCTTCTTTTTCAGTGGCAGCTTTCTCAACAAAAACCCAAGATAGAACCCCACCTCTGCCACAACCACTGTATAATTGGAATAAGAAAGATAAACAGATTTACAAACTCTTTCTTTCACCTAAACCTCAATACTACTTCAATAGCAATAGATGACTGGATTTGAAATTTGAATGTACATCAAACACAAACCAGCTGACATATAAAACTGACCTTAAACCTGTCTAACCTAAATTGTCCTCTATGCCTCAGTCTTTCTTTTAATTGATGTGATTTCACTTACAATCTCACATCTCCAAACTTTCATGTTAACAGAACTATGGGCAATAAAATGTATTATTTATCAGTAATATCAGTATTATTGTTACTTTCATAATCCTTCATAAATCTGCTTTGAAGTCAAAGAGGAAAGATGATCCCTATTAGTGCAAAAATTGCCTGAGAATAGTTTTATTTTTTAGTTTCTCTCAGGATCCAGCGATAACGTCCTGTGCATCCACTGCAAAGAGCTACTCATATATAATTTTGCTTGGTTTGACATTTACTCTCAAATATACGCTCAAATTCTGCATAATGAAAATGACACAACTATTTGTTGAAGATGCCATTTTGAATGAAAGTAGTACAGGTAAGATTCAACTAGTATTGCTACTGTGGGTAAAGGGGAAGGAAACAGTAGCCGTGTCGTATTGTTTAGGTATTTAATCTATATCCATGTATTGCATTTTAAAATTGGATTTTAGTAGATGTATACACTATGGTCAACTGGAATTCCTCTAAAGTTAATGTCTGATACAACACGACTTAAAGATAATGAACATAATGAACTTTGAGTGTCATGTGAATACTGTCTATAGAAAAGCTCACCAGTGCATGCACGTTTATCAAAATCTTTATGGGGGATTTTTGTGTTGATGGCTTTTATGAGAACAATTGTTCTTACATTCTCATTTTTTCTGATGATACAAGTTACTGAACATAAAAAACAAAAATAGACAGAAAAGTATAGTCAAAGTGTGCAGCAACATTTCAGAATCAGAATCAGAAAGTGTTTTATTGCTAAATGTTGAGCAGGTTTACAACATTAGGAAATTGCTGCGGTGCTTCAGTGCAAACATACTGTCATAAATTACGCTAAAATAGATATTAAAATAAAAATAAGAATAAAAATTAAAAGTGCTAAGTAGATAGATATATACATGAGTGCAGGTGGTGATCAGTGCCAAACATGGAATGATGCAGTGAACACAGCGTAGGGTCATGTGTTAGTGGTGGGAACAGTCATATGGTTATTGTTCATGTGTCCAACAGCAGAGGGGAAGAAACTGTTCTTATGGCGAGAGGTTCTGGTGCGAATGGACCAGAGCCTCCTGCCTGAAGGGAGCAGGTCAAACAGACTGTGTCCAGGGTGAGAAGGGTCAGCTGTGATCTGAGCTGCACACCCCAGTGTCCTGGAGGTGTACAGGTCCTGCAGAGATGGGAGTCTGCAGCCAATCACTGTTGGTTGGAGAATGGTTGCTGAAAATTGTTGGCTGTCCACAAGTGAAACTGAAGAGTACTTTGAAGGCGTGCAGGTTCAGTTTTTTTGTCATTTTCACAGCTTCAGGACCTCTTTAGTATAAGTAGTTGGCAAGTGTGTGCAGACAATCTTCCATGCAAACTGCGAGCAACACCGGTAACCTGCCAGTGATCAAAGCAATTGCAAGACGTTTACTGTGTGATACATTATACGTCTTTGTAACCAATTTCACCAAGTGACTGCCCGGCAACCACTCAACAGCCGGGTTTTTTTTCCCCAAAAGTGATGGTTCCTAAGGGATCGCTGACTGATCTCCGGGCCTGTGGGTATGGTATATTTATTGGTTATTCATAACCATTTCCTTCGTAGTTGACTGATTTCTGTACAACCAAATGCGCTTAGAGGATAAAAAAAGGCCTCCTTGACCATTTTACACCCTTGTAGTAAGTACAGCACTGTGAACATTTGGGCCCATTCCCACTTGGTCTAAATATGTTATGTGTCTGGAAAAAACATATTAAATCAAATTGTGGCATAAACAGACTCCAGTATTTGTCTATACCATTATATACTGCTGCTATTATAGTGACTGCAGTGTTGTTCTGTTATCATAGATTTTTATTTGTTTTTCAGAGGCTCATCCCAAAGACCCACACAGCAAGCAAAATTTCATCATACACCTGACAGGTATGAAAACCATAAGACCACAGGTGTTTGGAGAGTTATACCATGTCATTTGGCATCCTCTTGATGAATGAGGTGAGGCCTCCGCTGGAAAAGACACAATGTGGAGGTTTAGACGCATCGTCATTGCTCCTAAACCTGCTTATATCGCTTAGCATTAATGATGCCTTCGCAGTGACTCCTGACATGTGCACTAATATTTGTTTTTAATTCAGTGCTGACATTCAGCCTCTGTAGGATTCACTTTTTATATCCAGTAATGCTACGAATAACCTTTTTAGTTTAGTATTAAAACACTTTTTACTCATATTCTAACTCTTTTAAAAATGATGCTGCATCAAATTTTAAAATTAAATGACAATAAAAAAAATAAAAAATAAAAATATATATATATATATATATATATATATATATATATATATATATATATATATATATATATATATATATATATATATATATATATATATTAATTTCTTATAACCGTAACAAGATGTTACAATATTTTCTCATTTAAATATAGGCTTTCACTGATTTGCAGGTCGCTGTATTCTCTTTATTTACAAATTATTGCATTCTGATTCCCAACTTTTTTTGTTTTTGAAACAGCATTGAACAGAAAAGTGTTTGTAGGCTACAGTACTTTATCAAATAAAGTCCAAATTTTAGTAGCTCAAATTTTATTGGATGTTTGGCTGCTAAATCTTTCATTTGCAGCCAGTTGTGGTTGCAAGACCACCAACACTGCCTTTCTTAAAGGACTCATAGCTCTTTCTACAAACAAAGCTCATCATTGTGTTGACTTTTTATGCCTGACTTACCACTTTTCTTTCTCTCCTCAGGTCCTCTATACTTCAGCCCAAAGTGCCGAAAACAGTTCCACCGACTGTACCACAAAACCAGGGACTGCACAGAGCCAGCCTGTGAGTCTTTTAATTATCTTATCCTGAAAAACATGAAAGCTGAAGTAGTGGAATTACTTGCACTAGCTTCTTAAAAGTTAATATTTCCATATGTTTTTGTATGTAGGTTTAAAATCTGCTTAACCGGCAAGAATTAACCAATAGTAACAGAAAATATTTGTTCATTTCACCCTGTCATTTCTCTGGCAAAATTTTACAGAAAGAAAAAACAAACAGGTTTCTGAAGTAGACTGAGGAATGTACGAGTGTCCAGGACTGAATACTTGGGGAAAAGGAAAATATGTCAAATATGTAAATAAATTCAAGAAATATCTTAGAAGTTATGTCTGGATCCTGTCATATTTTGCTTCAAACCATATTTCCTGTTGCAGAAAAGTAGGATTGGATTGAAAGAGCAAATCCTCCAACAAGGTCAACGTCCTTTTTCCCCACGTTAAAGGAAAATGATTCAGTAGTAAAATAAAATAGATTCTTCCTTTGGTCATGCTTTGCTTCTCTGCCAAGTTTCTTGAAATTTAGCGCCTGTTTTTAACACACACACACACACACAAAATGTTGGTTTTTCCTCCTTATGAAGACTCGTGCTTTTATGAGGCATTCTCAGCCCACAGAACTTTAAACATGAAGTCTAAAACAGTCTGAACGCTAGAAAAGATCTGTAGAGTAGTGATGTAGGCAAAAACAACGTCTCATCTTTAAACAGGAATTCATCCACACAAAGGCACCGAATGATTTGAGAGTCATACCAATGATTGCTGGTTAGATTCCTTCTTGTTAGTGTGTGTGTGTCACAGTGATGTGTTGCTGCAGGAGTTTGTTGAGATTGAAAAAACAGGATAAGACGTGTTTTAACACACAACCACACTGTGTTACACTGTTATCAGTGTAATCATGTCAGAACAGCATCAGCTCTTATGATATTAAATCATGCATGTAGCTTTTTGTTTTTCTTGGAGAGAGTGAGTGTATGTGTGGATAGAAATATGTGTGCCCAAGCAAGTTTGTGAGGACCGCTGTGAAATTTAAGGCTCGTGATTGAGCCTGATTTATTAATTGTGAGGACACTCAGACATGTAGCGTACATCCATAATAATTCTCATTTAATACCCACATTGATTAGAATATTCTCTTTTTCTTATTGCCCTGAACCATTAGATGAATCATTAGTCATATACTTTATTTGTACAGGTGCACTTTTCCCACTTTCATTTGATGCCTACCTGGAACTTTTTGTTGTTTTACAATAAAGTTTAAACCAGTGAGCTGTAGTAGCCGAAATCTCCTTGGATTAAAGTATCTGAACAAAGATTTTCACAGAGACACAGCTAAAAATGTGAATGTGTTTGTGTGTGTATGCATTTGTGTGGCGGCAGTGGCAGGCATGTTAAAGGTGAACACTACAGGAGCTGTGGAGGTTCAAACTTGTTCAGAGGCTGTTTACACAGTAAATCCGTCGGTTTATCGGCTGGATGTTTGTCAGACGACAGAGAAGAAAAAATGTTTATCTAAGTTCAAGTTTCTTATCTCATTCACATCTGAAGTTGATGTCAATTCATGGTGGTGACTTTGGAAATTAGAAATATACAAACAGTGCAACCAAGAAGGTGCCCATACTTTAGTTATGGGCACCGTCTTGGTTACAGAGGTTATAGAAGAATTTTTTGTGTTCCCTAAAATATTGAGTTTTTGACCTGGTTTGTTCAAGAGGGAAGGTTTATGTCTTCTCGTTGCAGACTTTCAAGGTTAACAAGCAGATACATTACTAGGGCAATCAAAGGATGTATGGGGAGAGTTTTGTACTGAACTAAACACAATAAATACAACTAAATACATCAGAGGTTACACCTTGATAGTCCTACATTTATGTATAATAATATATAATATGGTAGATTGCTTTCAAGACAGTAGTTTATTTACTACCCAAACTTTTGGTGTCACTGCTTTGTAATTATGTCTATAAATAAAATGTTTGAGCAAGCACATACAAACTCACATTTAAGTTAAATCAATTAGGAAATTAGTCATGTGTGGAAAACCATTCATTTTTAAAAGGGCAGTTTTCTCACAGAGTATTTAAACACTTTTGTTCATGACAAGTCCAAGTAGAACAAGTTTTTCACTTTATTAATAGTTACATTTTGGTGATGTATGATCAATTACTGCTATCCCCAGGATTAGTCAGATCGGATGGCTTCTAGCTAACAGTTCCTCTTGTTACCAGTCTTCTCGCTCAGCTAGGCTAAACATCTCGTGACACTGCAGCTGCAGGTCGTGTTTCGTTTTGGAAATTTAGTAAATTGATTTTTTCAAGCAGCAGTTAAACACAGTGTGTTGTTTTGCTTCTCTGCAGACTATAAAAGATGTGCTCGTCTCCTGATTCAACTGGCCAAGAGCCCTCGCTGTTCAGAGAGATAAACAGACAAATGGTAAGACCGACAACTGCATAGATTTTTTAACTTTTATGGCTATTCATACTACACCACAGTAATCAACTAACAGAAAAGCAATTAAATAACAGGAAAATTTGTTACTTCTGGGTTTTTTCTTTACCTCTGTCACGATTGTGCTCATGATGTGATTTCTGTAGAATTAAGTTTTTATGATCAAAGTATAACTTTAGTTATGGCAAAGCATCAGCCTTCCACTTCTAATCTTATTTTCCTTTGCTTGAACACCTGCCTTGAAGTAACTTTCTAATTAAAAAGGGCTTCACTTTCTTTTTGCATACTGGACTATTGTCATTAATGACATTTTGATCTACAGTTGACTTAGATGAAGGTCAGATCTCATTTGATCAGGAAATAAAGCGTTCATAAACTTTTTTTTCTTGCAGCTATGCCTCATGATAAATGTTTAAATTGTCAATACTCCTTTTCTTACATTTCGATCTGAACCCCAAAGGCAGGAAATAGCAGTTAGAGGAAATATATACAGGTCAAAGTTTAAAGCTGGTAGAAGCAGTAATGAATAGATGTTATTGATGAACCGTGAGGTTAAAGTCTGATGACAGAAACCTACCAGGGAAGCTGATCGTTCCCAAGGCTAAAGAAAGAGAAAATGTTTGTTGTTTGTTGATGCACTCAAGAAGACAGACTAAAACGCAGTATTAACAGCATTATGTGAAATCACTAAGGGTGCAAAGCACCGGGCAAGCTTCCAGTGAGCATCCATTTCAGTGCAGACCACAAGACCACAGAAGAAGAACATAAACAGCCCCAACACAATGTGACCATTGTTAGGCTTATATCTAGCACCCAAATAACTACAGAGATAAGTTCAGACAGAGTTTAACACAAAATGACCCTGAGACTAGCAGAAGTCTGTAGAATATGAGGAATCAAGAGAACTTAAAAAATCGTTAAGAAGCCTTGAAATAAGAGAACTTTGATCAGATGGTAATATTTCAGAGCCCTGAGAGCTATAGAACTGGTAAATATGGATAAGACAAATTGTAAAGTATTAAAAACAGAGACAATCAAGGAAAACATGACAAGAATTTGTTTAAAAATGGATTTCAATTAAACAACCACATGTTAATGGCGTTGTGACTACAAGTTGGAAATCATTACTGTATAGACAGTAGAACTTATAGCACAGACCTGCATACTGGTTACACTTGCTGACGATCAGTTAGTGAAATTCTATTTAGCTAATTTGATGACTTAGCAAGGGCTAGATTTTTTAATTATGTCCTTTTATGTAAAACGTTAGAACTGACGGAGGCCAATTAGAATCAAAAAGGATAATAAGTTTTAAAGCAGTCCTTTGAAACCATCATCTATGGTAACCATGTTAGTAGTCAGGCATAAGACCTTAGGGAATCATCTAAACAAGAATTTAGTGACCAGTATTGAGATCCAGTGTATCTTTGTATTGATTGTAGAACATTAAAGTAAGACAGATATCATTGCAAGGCTTTATGGTGACGGGACCAGACGGAAACCATTTGTCTCCAATGCTGATACTTAAGGTAAATGACCAGGTACTCATTTAGCACTTTTCTACTCTACCTGAGCAATCAAATTTATTAAGTTATTCATTCAAAAAATCATACTTAATATCACACTATTCAAATATTTCATTAGGCCCAATCTTTATGGCTCTCTCCTTTCAATGGCAGCAGTGCCTTAGGCAGTGAGACTTTTATATCAGCTGATGCCAAATAGCTCATGGTGATTTGTTAACACACCAACAGTGTTGGTTCTAACAAATGGAAAAGCTTAACAATTTGTACCACTCAGGAAAAAGTGAGCTACTGGTAGTGTTGATTAATTTTCAGAATCAAATGTTCCTTTTGAATAAAATATTCATTTGTCTTAACAAAATTAAAATATTCATTGACAGGCATATTTTTCACTAATGGATAATTTTTAATGCGGAAGTAGCGGATGCATTATTTCAGATGGTCAGCAGGGGGCAGCAACTCTGGTTGCAAAAGTACTATTATTGTTTAGAAGTCTATGAGAAAATAAGCCAATGACTCCCTTGGCTTATTGATCTCCTTTATGGTAGAACCAGTCTGTAAAGCCTGTAGGTGCACCCTACAATAATATCTGTAAAGCCCAGTGTCAGAAAGGGCCTGTAGAACCTGTTAAATGTGACGTTTTCAGACTTTTCTCATAAAATTGTTATAGTTTTGAGTAAGTAGAATCTGCTAAGTTTAATATCTACATCTATTAAAATCAAGCAGAACCTGTAAAACTTGAATTAAAAAATCTTTTGTAACGTGTGGAACCTGTATAACCAGCAAGATATTATTTGGAGCCTGTACGACCTGTACTTGTACTATAGACCACATAGAACCACAAGTTCTACAGAGCCTGTCTAACTGACTCATACTAAAAACTAAAAGCCTGAATATTTTTTCCCCCTTTGTTTAATTTATAAAGTCAATATAGTACAGTTACTTGAACATGTAACAACCGTGAGCCCCTGAAAAACAATTTGCAGTACTGTGATGGACTGAGCAGCGAAGGAAACTTAGGCACAGGTTAAAGTCCAAAAAAATGATTTTTATTTAATCCAAAAACATAATTGGTTAAATCATGCAAAAAGAATCAAAATCTTGGGCCCATAAAAGAGGTTAAAACAACAGAACTCAAAGTTAACAAACCATACTGATAACTCAAACAAACTGACCTCACTTAACGAGACAAAGGGGAAACTTAAATAGTGGCTGATCAGCCCACAAAAACACAGAGGGGTAAAACACACAAAACCTAACTGGAACTAACATAATGAACTCCAATTCCCCCCCATGGCCCCGAGTTATGGAATGAGCTAATTTGCAGTCTTCCATCAAAGCCCGCTCCACCCCTTTTCCACCTCTTGGGTCCTCAATCAAGGGACTGGAGCAGCTGCAACTACGGTAACTCAGAAAACAAAGATTAAATCATACATAACAGTGTAAACTAAAATGTGCGCACTTCTTATAGAATGCACTGTTATGTGGACATGTGAATTAATTCTAAACCAAAACCAGTTATTTGTTGTCCTGTAAATTAAGTCCTATTTAAAGACAAATGTGAATGCAATATATAAGCCTCTACATTAACATGGTGGATATTACCACTGTGTGGCTGTACATGCAGCCATCACAAGTACCTTTTATCTGTGCTTATTCTGAATCCTCTTCTTCAGTCTTCATCTTAGCAAAAGTTTTTTCTACTCGTTCGTGTCTTTCTTCCACAGGCTCTGGACATGAAGTTTTGGCATACCAGGGTGCAGCAAGAAGGTTCATCCTCTCTGTTGACCAGCAGCAGGAAAAGTTATAAACAAACCTCTGAAAATCTGCTGGAGCCAGTGAGCTCAGCCGACTTGATCCACAATTGGAAATCAAAATGATTGTTTTCTATTTTATTCGATTCAGCTGTTTATCTCCAACAACCATTCACCTTGTATACACACTACAAACAGGTGTAAATTTTCTATGACAGGATTTTTGGACTTTTTCGAACAAAAACTTGAGTTTTGTTCAACTTTGTGTAGACTCATCTCGGCATTCGTCGAATCATTTTTGCCTTTTTTACCTCTACTCTGTTCTTTGGTCGATTCCTGCTGTACTGGACAACCTCAGACACTCTACTGGTTTATAACAGAGCTATTTGGACATGGAACTAAGAGACAAAACTTACCTGGGACAAAATGTCTACTTCAGTTTTTGGGGACTTTTTTTGGACAAAGGGCCAAGGTTTGACCTTCTATTTGAAGACGCAGGGGGAAACAAAATGGACTAAACCTCTGAGTGGATGCTGAATGTGTTTTATGTGACATCATACATAATAATTACTTATAATTAAAGTAATAATATTCCATATATTTATATTGTTAAAGCTGCAGCCCAGTGTGCAATATGTAAATACAGAAAAAGGATTAAAGATAATCATTTGATATATATCCATGCTCGTGTGAGATTTCATTTTTGCCTCATTTTTTGTTTTTGAATCTGTAAAGTCCATCTTTTTATTCTTAGGGGGGGAAAAGCTGAATGAAGAGTTTCATAAAATGCTGGTAGCCTATATTAAATAGAAAATAAAAATAATGCAATTTAAAAAAAAAAATTCACCTATAGACCCGACGGCCATGAATACTATTACACTACCATTAAATTAAGTTTGGTTAGTGTCCAGTATTTTGTGAGGGTGACTTAGTTGACACACCCCTTAAACCCCCTCGATCCTGGACAGCAGCAATGGAGTGGTAGGTCATGAAATTAGTTCTCATTTTTAAAAAAGGGGAACTAGAGAGTTGGAGCATGTGTGTCAATTATTGGAGTATCACCCTGCTCAGCTTCCCCAGGAAAGTTTATTTCATGTTGTTGGGGAAAGATGAATTCTTGAACTTTGTGTTCAGGCGGTACAATGTGGAATCCATCCTGGCCATGGGACAGTGGACCAGATGTTCAGCCATGCACAACATCTGGAGGGATCATGGGAATTTGACCATACAATCTGCATGAACTTATGGCATTGGAGAAGGCTTACAATTGGTTTGCAAGGGGACACCTATAGGGTGTACTGCAGGAGTGTGGGTCTTGCGTCCATTGTCAATATACAGGGTGGTCCATTTATATGGATACACCGCAATAAAATGGGACTGGTTGGTGATATTAAAGTCCTGTTTGTGGCACATTTGTATATGTGAGGGGGCAAACTCCTCAAGATGGGTGGTGACCATGGTGGCCATTTAGAAGTCGGCCATCTTGGATACAACTTTTGTTTTTTCAATAGGAAGAGGGCCATGTGACACATCAAACTTATTGGTAATGTCACAAGAAAAACAATGGTGTGCTTGGTTTCAACGTAACTTTATTCTGTCATGAGTTATTTACAAGTTTCTCTTTGTTCACAGCCATTGACATGTCGAAGAGGTTAACACATGAGGAGCAGATCAAAATTGTGTTGATATCTAGTGAACGCAGTAACCGAGTCATTGCAGCAGATTTCAATGCAAGACACCCTACGAGACCACCCATCTCCCATGCTACAGTTAGCAAACTGCTTGCTAAGATTCGTGAAACTGGTTCAGTGTTGGATTTGTGTTACGACCCGGCTCAAAAGCCGCAACATAAAAAAAGGAGACGAATACCAGAGTGTAGGTGAAATGAGGTTTTACCTTAAAATGGACTATCAGGTTGGCTAAAATGGCTAGTGCCACCAAGGCAAAGACTAGTGAGCTCCCTGGGAAGCTTGCCTCAGGTATGCTTTTATCCACACCTGACTAGGTGTAGCCAATTAGCACCAGCTGAAAACATTGAGATGATTAGGGGCTGCAGAGGGACGTAACACCTCCTCCCTCAAAGGGTTCCTCTAGGACCCTTAAATTTATTAAAAGCCCCTCTAAAGCCTTCAATTTGCCAAAATGTGGACGCAAGAAAACTGTCACTAATGAAGAAACATCAGTGGCTGTCCTAGCTTCATTCAGCAAGAGCCCACAGCGTAGCACTCGCCGCATGTCACTGGAGAGTGGCATTAGTCGAACATCCCTTCGGCTGATATTAGCTACTCACAAATGGCACCCTTACAAACTCCAGCTACTGCAGCATCTCAACGAGGATGACCCAGATCGGCACACAGAATTTGCAGAATGGGCAAAACAAAAATTGGAACAGGACCCTCAGTTCATGCAGAAGATTTTGTTCAGTGATGAGGCAAACTTTTATGTTTAACAAACAAACAAAACCACTGCTATTGGTGATAGGTTTGTAGCATAAACCTATTCGCTGGAACGTTCAAGACAATTTACTGCACAGCAAAAGCAAGACACAAGTAGGCAAAGTTCTTTGTGTTACTCATGCATGAGGGAGGCCTGCCTGGAGCCAAGTGTCGTTCCACCCACTTGACCTCTGTCAGACTCTCAGCCAGGTTCCCCATAGCACTCCTTTTATTGTGGTTACATGAATGTGTATAGGTTCATTAACATATGACGTTTCATATAGGTATACATGTGGACAAAGAATACCTTGTCTGTGTGTGTCATGTAAGTATGTGTGTGTGTGTGGGGGGGTCAAGATGTGACCCCGTGAAGACTCCCCAAAGCTGGTGCCAGGAGTCTAGCAGTCCATCTAAACAAAAGGCTCTTGTACTTAACTGGATACAGAGTAGGTGTCCTTCTATACCATAAATCAGAAAGAGCAGATATAACCTCTCTCCTGACCTTAAGTTGCGTGTGCATGCCAAAGTGCTCTGGGAGGCACACAGAGTCTCCACAGACTACTAAGGATCAAACCTCTACCAACTTGACATTGATTATAAAACTCTAAGCGTATATGAGTAGATATTTCTAAGCATAAATGACAATCAACAATACAAATCTAACAATTGGTCTGACACTAACCCACCTTGGATGGATCCCTCCAAGACTGTTGGAACAACAAAAGTGATGGTTTGGTGTGGTATATGGGTACAACGATAGTGGGTCCATTCTTCATCGGTGGTAACCTCAAGGCCACTGGATATTTGAAATTGCTACATAATGATGTTTTTCCCTCTTTATGCACTGAAGCTGGCAAGTTCCCTGAGTTTTTCCAGCAAGCTGGTGCACCACCACATTATGGGTGCCAGGTCCGAGCATTCCTAGATGAACAGTTTCCTGGAAAGTGGATTGGTCGTCGTGGGCCAGTTGAATGGCCCCCAAGGTCTCCCGATCTTAGACTTTTATCTTTGGGGTCATCTGAAGGCAATTGTCTATGGTGTGAAGATACGAGATGTGCAGCATCTGAAACTACAGATACTGGATGCCTGTGCTGGCATTTCTCCTGCGGTGTTGCTATCAGTGTGTGAAGAGTGAGAGAAGAGGGTTGCATTGACAATCCAACACAATGGGCAGCACATTGAACCCATTTTATAAGTGGTCAGAAACTTGTAAATAACTCATGACAGAATAAAGTTACGTTGAAACCAAGCACACCATTGTTCTTTTTGTGACATTACCAATAAATTTGATGTGTCACATGGCCCTCTTCCTATTGATAAAACAAAAGTTGTATCCAAGATGGCCGACTTCTAAATGGCCACCATGGTCACCACCCATCTTGAGGAGTTTGCCCCCTCACATATACAAATGTGCCACAAACAGGACTTTAATATCACCAACCATTCCCATGTTATTACGGTGTATCCATATAAATGGCCCACCCTGTATAACCAAAGAGAGAGCTGTTTCCACATCCTTCACACAAAGTCAAGCATGTTTTCAGTGGATGTTGGACTCCTCCATGCTTGTCGCTCATCTCCTGTTTGTGATTTAAATAAGGAGAGGTCAGTGTTAGAACAGAAAAGCAGCCTAACATCCAAGAAAAGCAGGCAGATGAGTGATTACAGATCTTTATTGAAATTATGCATAAGCTTCATATTCATGGACAGGATTTGATAGCATAGCTGACATATGGAGAGAATCCATTTTGGAAACCTCAGGATAGCATCCCCGCTTCTTACAGATCATGTGATTCTATTGGTTTTTAATCAGAGCAAGGCCTTCAGCATGCACTGGAGCCCTTTGCCTAGTACCAGCTCTGATCAGAGTCAGCATCTCCAAGTCTGAGACTATGGGAGTTCTGGAAAATGGTGGAATCCTTCCTTGGTTTGGAGGAGAGGGCTCCCCCAAGCGAGGGAGTTCCTCACAAGGGAGTTCGAGTATGTTTGGTTCTTATTCACATATGGTAGAAAGATTGAGTATGTGATGGATTGGAGTATTGGTGTGGCTTCAGCAGCAATGGTGAAGAGAGACTCTTCAATTTACCAGTTCACCTTTATTCCAGCCTGAACTTATGGTTGTGAGATCTGGATATGTCCAAAATGCAAGCAGTCAAGATCATGAGTGTTTAGATCATTGCAGAATGGTGTTTGGTGTAGTCTCACTGAATAAGCAAGACCTTCCCTAAAAAACACATAGCTTGGATGTAAGGATGGGACTGGACAAGAATTTAGCAATTGGGATTCCATTATTGATACCACTTATCAGTTCATCTCGATTCTCTAATTAGGGGTTCTATTGCAGTGTCTTTAAGAGTCACCACCATCGCTAACCAGCACATAAAAGAAATCACATTCATACAAATTAATTCAATGCTGTGTGGTCAACTGTTTATAATGTATTACAAAATTAGACTTTTCTTAAAAGTAAAGCAGTATGTTACTTAATTATTCCCAAAGAGAAAGTAATTCTTTGCACTACTTGTAACATTACTTCAGTGTTTCTCCTTAAAATTACCTGAAATGTCTTTGTCTCATAATTGCCAATAAACCATATAAATCTGCAGACTATTCAATTCAATTCAATTCAATTCAATTTTATTTATATAGCGCCAAATCACAACATAAGTCGCCTCAAGGCGCTTCATAGATACAGAGAAAAACCCAACAATCATATGACC